AACATGATATTCAACCGTATACGAGCACCTTGAAGCGGAAGATGTAAATGTAGTATGTTTGATAAGCCTAAAACGCTCAAAGTGATTTTGACGGTGGAGAATGATTTATTTAATGATTCTCTAAATTATRTCTTTCCTCTACAAACATGTTATCACTTTTATTTTGCTAAAAYAGTTTGTGTGAGATGTTTAATTTTTTTAGATGCATGTTTTACTTTTAAGATCAAAAAACGTGAAAAATAATAATATTTCCCAAATCTATAAATATTTTGCTTCATTAGTAAGGCGTTTTTTGTTTTTTTTTGTGAACAGAGCAGATTTCAATTGAGAAAATGAATTAAAACTAGAACTTTTCAATGAATGTCGTACTTTAATTAAGAGAAGCACTTATAACAAAAGAAATGTTGTTTGGACCACAAACACGAATACCAACCCATTACTATTATTCCTTCTCTTATATCCTAACTTCAGCTAGTTTATAAGTACCAGCTTTGTACAGTTGGCAATGTTTTCTTTAAAAAAATAATAGCGCTGGAGAAGTTTATCGTTAACATATCGAAGACCGCTTCGTAGAAAGAAAACAAGACAGATGGTGCTTTTGAAACGCCGAAATGTTCTAATTAAAGTTTGTTTGTTTGTTTTAGTTCAGTTATTGACTCAGTTGAGCATCTTAATTCTCTGTTGTAATATCACAGAATTGGATTCTGTGGTGGTGAGTGAGCAAGGAGGTTAGAGTAATATTTCACAATTCGCCATACAATAACGAGAAAACGGGCAATCACCGTAGCAATATTAATTTGGTCTTTGTGGCTTCTGTGAGACTTTGCCTCAATTATCCTCAACATCTATCAAAGCTCTGGATTGGAGCAACATTTTTCATGTTTTCATGCCATTACTATTCATCGCCTTTTGTTACATCCATATTTACAGGGCAGCAAAAATCCAGATGAAAAATATTGCAAGAAATGATTTTGATAAAAAGCAAGTCAATGTTCGACCCGGGCCTTATACTTATTAACGACTACGTAAGTGTCAAATATAGTGCGTTGTGGTTTCAATTCTCTGATTAAATCATAGAGAAATGATACCTTTTTTTGATCAGTCGCTGAGAGACTGAATCTGGCTTTGCTCAAGTACAACAATGAACTTGCGCGCGTTCCCCGAGATCACCTGGTTAGGAGCGTGATTTTCACATAAACTCCCATTTCTAGAATCTATCTAAGCAAATCAGAAAAGGATGACATCACATGCGATTAAATAGTTGCAAAGAATAATAATTATAGATATATACCAGGTGAACTGAGAGATCATGCTGTACGTAGGAACAAGAAAGCAGCATGCACTGTGGCGATTGTGATTGGTCTATTCGTGTTATTATGGATACCAACTCTGGCTGCTTCTATTGCGGAGCTTGTAGTGTCAGATTTATGTGAAGCCAGAGTCAAAATTGACTACGCTTGGTTCTGGGTTACTTTTGTATCTTTTATTTCATCCAGTATTAACCCTTGGATCGATCGATACCATAAGAATCCGTGAATTTCTTTGAAAAAAATGTCAATCTTAATTACTGGTAATTATATTTTGAGAGCGCCTGAGGTTCACATGACCTCGAGTGAAGCTTTGCAAGCCACATCTAACCATTRAAACATGAATTCAAACAACAAGTTTTTGAAAGCATTACAATTGGGACGGACTCAGTGATCAATATGAAACTGGGTCGCTATTCAAAAGACAATAGGTGCCAGCTAAAACAGCAGTACCACAACAACAGTTTGTGCCTTCCATTCCGCCTCAAATGGCAATACCACAACAATCATTAGTAATTCTTCAAGTGATTYACGTATGCCTTCACCCATTTCCCAACCTTCGTCTGAAGTCTCGTCAACATCCACACGATAATGTCATGTTTACATTGCGTATGGATTGTTTAATCGCAGCCCGACCTCAATAAATTTGTATTTGATCTTTTTACGAACATGTTTCAGGAAAACAAATTGTTTTACAAATGTCAGAACATCCCAAAAATTTGGTTCAAGTGCGACCAAGGCCTAAATAGAATTTTAAATACATCGCTAGTCAATGACGCAGCGCTACGAAAGCAAAGATTTAAAGTTATTTTATTTGATTGCGGCCGCCATGTTTTTTCCCAGTATTTTACCCTAATTAGATTCGAGGGACCGCCAGATCGGATTTCTTCCTGCGCGATGATTGGCTGGTTTTTAATTGGCAGTCAAAACGAGATCACCAGGATTTCGCGGGATTCTATCTTTCGCATCAGTAAAATTGTYGCTTCTCTTATGTTTGTTTTGATGAACACGATATGGTAGCAATAACAATAATWATTTTTTTCCGGTCCAATATCCTAAAAAATTGTGCATTCTGATTGGCTGTTTGAGCGGGCGGTATTTTGTCAGTATCTGCCCGCGCTTGCGGTCCGGTATCTTTTGCCGCTGAACAACAAAGCAAAACGATTACAAAAACAAATTAATAAATTAATAAATTATTTACCGTCCGGATAAGTAAAAACTGTGCCCTCGGTCTTGAAAACGGACCTCGGCCTAACGGCCTCGACCCGTATATTCAAGACCTAGGGCACAGTTTTTCTCTATCCGGACCTCCTGGCCGGTAAATAACATATATTCATGTAATAACCCTAAGACCTGCCTCTACATCGATATTCTAAAATGACCTTTCCTCACTTATTTATTTCAATTTTGAAACGTGAACCAAAATATTTTTGAATTCTCGTGATTTATAAGACAATTTTATCCATCATGAYCAAGAAACGACTTCTGGGTTGATCAGTAGTCAGGCCCCATCGCTAAGTCAGAGATTGGACTCTGAAACAACTTCTGGGCTAATCTATAAGTAAGGGTATGGTTAACTTCATATATCGATAAGTTAACTTGAAAATAAATTTATTGGGTGTTCATAGTTTTTACAATTTCACGTATTTTTAAAATTTGACCTTCAAGCACAYTGATATGGCTACCTGTGTCCAGAACCGGTGAGAGACCTTTGGCACGATCGACGTTCTGGCTTAACGTTTACCGCAAACCTCATACTGCAGTTCGACGTCAGGCGTTTACCGCCAAAGTTTCTTCATTTAGCAAGGCCTCATAACGAAGTTGTTGCTGGAAGAGCCGCCTTATCGAATTTCTTTAAAACCGAGTGTTTCTACGTGTTTGCGGGCGTGTTCCTGGGCCTGATCCCTAGCAATAGCCCCTTTCRCAGTTCCCTGCGCCATCTTGAAAGGTAGCCGTGGCTTTGCATCGGAGCGAGATGAGCGGTGAGCTTGCAATGATAGAGACATGCGAATAATTGTCCAAGGTGTTAATAAAAGGTCTCTATAATTGCATGCTCACCGTTTGTCTCACTTCGATGCATAGGCACGACTACCTTTCAAGATAGCTCAGGGAACTGTGAAAGGGACTAGTGCAGTGGTTAGCGGTAAACCTGGTCTACTAAAGGTCTCTTTATAGCAGATCACCCAAGCCTTTATTTTCATTCCTATGAAACGCATAAATGGAAACAAAGCATTGCGTGTTTTGATAGTTAGAAACTTTTTGAAAATTCAATGTCTTTATAAAACCTTATTGACTAGAAGTGATAAAAACCGTAACACTCTAAAACCATGTTAACCACACGGCATACTCTGAACATCTTAGTAACCCATTGGCTATAAGATTGGCATTTTTGGTATTTAACTAAAAGAAGCCCCCGATGATAAAAATGCATTTTGTGTTCATCAATAAACCTTGTTTCAACTCTATCAAATCCATAGCAAGAATTTCCCCCCCGAAAATGTTGTGATAAAACGCCTGATTCCATTYGTGATAGGGTAATTCAAATGAAATRTTRTTTTTAGTGACTTTATGAKTTTTGCGATTTGATCGAAGCATGAACTAATAATAAAACCGATAAACTCATCAACATTACCTACTCAATTCAGTCACAAAAATCTCATCTTAATATATTGACATTTTACTTATTGTTTCAATATTCTTCTCGATTATATATATTTTTCCTTGAAATATTATTCAAACATTTGTCGATGTTTTGATCACGTTATAAAACCGATAATGCAAGCAAAAAATAATAATTTGCGGTCTGTGCTTTCTGGTACTTTCTATGGCTTCTGGTCAGGTGATGATGCTTTCATTTATATTACTTTAGCGGTCAGAGATATTTGTTATCGCGTCTGTTGGGAATACATGCATCTTTATCAAACAAGTCAACAATTCAGTTTGAACTTTAAATACGAAGCGATAAAATTTAGCCGCTAAGATAAATAAAACGAGCTAATAAAATCATAGCTTGAGTGCGGCCTCATTCTTAAGTGAATGGCTCAAGAAGCGTCGTATTTAATTTTACAGCTTCAAAATGAATTAAACGGTGTGAAAAGTAATTTCAAAAAGCAATGTCCGGTCGTCAAACGCTTTGGGCTTTGTAGTTTATAGTGGGGATAATCAGTTGTGAATTGAACTTCCGGGTGGCATAGCAGTATTCTATACAACATTACAAGTCATGATCATTACCATCAAAATCTATACTTGATTTTCCTTCGAACAAAACATAAAAATTTAATTTCTTAGATATCGTAAAAGGTCAGTGAGAAGGCATGGCTATGTGCGAAACTTTAATCRAGCAAAAAATGATATTCCCTCAGCTTTGGCGATTTGAACAAAATTCCATTCAAACTAAGTGACGGTAAACCTAGAAAAGAAGAAATGTAAAAAATATGACAAACTATCACAGATGGAAAAATGCTCCATACTGATTGGTCGAGAGGATTTTTTTATTAATTACACGTTGCCTTGGTATAATTTTAAAGATAAGTAAAGTGTTGGTGATTTTTATGACTACGATAAATTGAAAATCAATCAATTAGACACATATATCTCGAGTTAGATCTACAGTTTATTAATCGTACCTTTTAGCCAGCTTTAGATCATACAAGGTGGCGGAATACAAAGGAGCTAGTGAGAGTCGAATACACTGAGCCTTCTCAAACAACTGGTCCAAAAATTGATTCCGTAGTCACTGTTACCTTTGTTGTTTTTGTCAAAACAACCAGTTGAGGTCTCCAGACATTTCCGAAGAGAAAAACCAAAAACATTACCAATGAATAACTCTAGTTTGGCACTAAATGAGATTTGTAAAGGGGATATGAGCAAACTAGTCGCTGTTGTACTGGTAGTGCTGAATTGTTTATCGGCTGGAGCAGCTCTTCTGGGCAATACCATTGTTTTGACAGCCATATCGCAAGTCAAATTCAAACGAAATGTTTCGAATTATTTGATAGCGTCTCTCTCGGCTGYGGATCTTCTGGTTGGGCTGGTAATGAATCCAATGTTGATAGCCAAGATATTTATGAATGTYTGGCAAGGAGATCACTGGCTGTCCGTTTCAGCAGATTTTATGTGGCTCCAAACGACCACAGCTACGACGTTTAGTCTTTGTGCTGTCAGCTATGACCGTTACATTGCAATAAGATCCGTGTTTCGCTATCGCCATATAATAACGAGAAAACGGGCAATCACGCTAGCAATATTAATTTGGTCACTTTCCTTCTTCGTGGCTTCTGTGAGACTTTGCCTCAAARATTATCCTCARCATCTATCAAAGCTCTGGATTGGAGCAACACTYTTAACTGTGTTTATGCCGTTATTATTCATCGCCTTTTGTTACATCCATATTTACAGGGCAGCAAAAATCCAGATGAAAAAAATTGCAAGAAATGAATTTAATAAAAGGCAAGTCAATGCTGTACGTAGGAACAAGAARGCAGCATGCACTGTRGCGATYGTGATTGGTCTATTYGTGTTATTATGGATACCGACTCTGGCTGCTTCTATTGCGGAGTTCGTAGTGTCAGATTCATGTGAAGCCAGAGTCAAAATTGACTACGCCTGGTTCTGGGTTGCTTTTTTATCTTTTATTTCATCYRSTATTAACCCTTGGATCTATACYATAAGAATCCGTGAATTTCGAACATTTTTGAAGCGACACTTTGTGGCAAGGTACGAAAAATCGTTTAGAAAAAGCAATGAACGAAGAGCTGGGAGCCTTCCTACGGACATTTGAAAATTAGGAACTTAGGTTGAACCTCATTTAAAATCATTGAAGAAAACACCCAAATAAAAGAGTACCAATAAAAGAGTGAGGCAATGTTTGCGTTTTTATCTACGTGATACGTAAAACAAGATTTCAAAGCAAACGTGACTCGAAGTTCATGTGCAAAAGATTTACTATGCGGAAATTTGATTTTT